GTTGCACTGACACATGACACATACTTATTTATTGTACTCACCTGATTCATAATAACAGGTGATACATACTAACACGTGAAACATACTGAGAAGTGATATCAAATGAGGCGAGACATACTGAAATGTTTTACTAGCAGGTGAAGCAAACTGACAGGTAATACATATTGTCAAATGATACGTAATGACATGTGATGCTAACACATGATGCACACTGTCAGGTCATGCATACAATCATCGTGACATATACCAAGACGTAATACATAATATCCTGTGATACATACTGACACGCGATACAAACTAACATTTGACAAGTTGACATGGGATACATTTTGACATGTGATACATACTAACAGCTAATACATATTAATTAACGTGACACATTCTGACCTGATAAACAAGAAGTGATACATAATACCATGTAATACATTATCACACATGATACATACTGGCATATTATTCATACTAACACATGATACACACTGAAACACAAAATATATATTCCTGGGCCGATATATTATTTAAATACACAATAAAATCAGAAAAGCATCAGGTATCTAATTAGACATTATTGCTCTTGGTTGAACTGAATTGGCGCCTTGAGTCCCTCCCCAGGACCCACGCACAACCCTCCTGACCACGATGAGCTACACGCATAACAACCTGAAGTAACTCAAGGTAAGATACGTAGCCCCAGACCCCAGGACATAACTGGCAGCAGACCCCAGGATATAACAGGCAGCAGACCCCAGGATATAACTGGCAGCAGACCCCAGGATATAACAGGCAGCAGACCCCAGGATATAACAGGCAGCAGACCCCAGGATATAACAGGCAGCAGACCCCAGTATATAACTGGAAGCAGACCCCAGGATATAACAGGCAGCAGGCCCCAGGATATAACAGGCAGCAGACCCCAGGATATAACAGGCAACAGACCCCAGGACATAACAGGCAGCAGACCCCAGGATATAACAGGCAGCAGACCCCAGGATATAACAGGCAGCAGACCCCAGGATATAACTGGCAGCAGACCCCAGGATATAACAGGCAGCAGACCCCAGGATATAACAGGCAGCAGACCCCAGGATATAACTGGCAGCAGACCCCAGGATATAACTGGCAGCAGACCCCAGGACATAACAGGCAGCAGACCCCAGGACATAACAGGCAGCAGACCCCAGGACATAACAGGCAGCAGACCCCAGGACATAACAGGCAGCAGACCCCAGGACATAACAGGCAGCAGACCCCAGGACATAACAGGCAGCAGACCCCAGGACATAACAGGCAGCAGACCCCAGGACATAACAGGCAGCAGACCCCAGGACATAACAGGCAGCAGACCCCAGGACATAACAGGCAAGAGACCCCAGGACATAACAGGCAGCTGACCCCAGGACATAACAGGCAGCAGACCCCAGGACATAACAGGCAGCAGACCCCAGGACATAACAGGCAGCTGACCCCAGGACATAACAGGCAGCAGACCCCAGGATATAACAGGCAGCAGAACCCCAGGACATAACAGCAGCAGACCCCAGGACATACCTGGCAGCAGACCCCAGGACATAACAGGCAGCAGACCCCAGGACATAACTGGCAGCAGACCTCAGTACATAACTGGTAGCAAGACACCCGGACATAACAGGCCCCAGACCCCAGGATATAAACGGCAGCAGACCCCAGGACATAACTGGCAGCAGACCCCAATACAATAACAGGCAGCAGACCCCAGGACATAACATGCAGCAGACCCCAGTACCATAACAGGCAGCAGACCCAGTACCATAACAGGCAGCAGACCCCAGTACCATAACAGGCAGCAGACCCCAGGACATAACAGGCCCCAGACCCCAGATATAACAGTCAGCAGACCCCAGTACCATAACAGGCAGCAGACCCCAGTACCATAACGGCAGCAGACCCCAGTACCATAACAGGCAGCAGACCCCAGGACATAACTGGCAGCAGACCCCCGGACATAACAGGCAACAGACCCCAGGATATAACAGGCAGCAGACCCCAGGACTAACGCAGCAGACCCCAGACATAACTGGCAGCAGACCCCAGGACATAACAGGCAGCAGACCCCAGGATATAACAGGCAGCAGACCCAGGACATAACAGGCAGCAGACCCCAGGACATAACTGGCATACAGACCCCAGACATACAGCACAGACCCCAGGACATAACAGGCAACAGACTCCAGGACATAACTGGCAGCAGACCCCAGGACATAACTGGCAGCAGACCCCAGGACATAACAGGCAGCAGACCCAGGACATAAGGCCAGAATCCCAGGACATAACTGGCAGCAGACCCCAGGACATAACTGGCAGCAGACCCCAGGACATAACTGGCAGCAGACCCAAGGACATAACTGGCAGCAGACCCCAGGACATAACTGGCAGCAGACCCTAGGGCATAACTGGCAGCAGACCCCAGGACATAACTGGCAGCAGACCCCAGGACATAACTGGCAGCAGACCGTAGGGCATAACTGGCAGCAGATCCCAGGACATAACTGGCAGCAGACCCCAGGACATAACTGGCAGCAGACCCCAGGACATAACAGGCAGCAGACCCCAGGACATAACAGGCAGCAGACCCCAGGACATAACTGGCAGCAGACCCCAGGACATAACAGGCAGCAGACCCCAGGACATAACAGGCAGCAGACCCCAGGACATAACTGGCAGCAGACCCCAGGACATAACTGGCAGCAGACCCCAGGACATAACTGGCAGCAGACCCCAGGACATAACTGGCAGCAGACCCCAGGACATAACAGGCAGCAGACCCCAGGACATAAAAGGCAGCAGACCCCAGGACATAACAGGCAGCACACCCCAGGACATAACTGGCAGCAGACCCCAGGACATAACAGGCAGCAGACCCCAGGACATAACAGGCAACAGACCCCAGGACATAACAGGCAGCAGACCCCAGGACATAACTGGCAGCAGACCCCAGGACATAACTGGCAGCAGACCCCAGGACATAACAGGCAACAGACCCCAGGACATAACAGGCAACAGACCCCAGGACATAACAGGCAGCAGACCCCAGGACATAACTGGCAGCAGACCCCAGGACATAACAGGCAACAGACCCCAGGACATAACTGGCAGCAGACCCCAGGACATAACTGGCAGCAGACCCCAGGACATAACAGGCAGCAGACCCCAGGACATAACAGGCAGCAGACCCCAGGACATAACAGGCAGCAGACCCCAGGACATAACAGGCAGCAGACCCCCAGGACATACTGGCAGCAGACCCCAGTACATAACTGGCAGCAGACCCCAGGACATAACTGGCAACAAACCCCCAGGACATACAGGCAGCAGACCCCAGGACATAACTGGCAGCAGACCCCCCCAGGACATAACAGGCAGCAGACCCCAGGACATAACTGACAGCAGACCCCAGGACATAACTGGCAGCAGACCCCAGGACATAACAGGCAGCAGACCCCAGGACATAACTGGCAGCAGACCCCAGGACATAAGAGGCAGCAGACCCTTCAGACAATGTTGTCGCCAGTGGAGACGCTTAATTAAAACGGGAAGCTGTTCGTTTACCCAAGTTGTGTCGTGGGAGAACGGCTCCGTGCCAACGAGATGACCTTACTCGGCTCACGTGGAACCAGGCAGAGGAAATGAGAGAGCGAGAGAGGGAGAGAGCGAGAGAGAGAGGGGAGAGAGAGAGAGAGAGAGAGAGAGAGAGAGAGAGAGAGAGATAGGAGAGAGAGAGAGAGAGAGAGCGAGAGAGAGAGAGAGAGAGAGAGAGAGAGAGAGAGAGAGAGAGAGAGAGAGATGAGAGTGAGAGAGAGAGAGAAGAGAGTGAGAGAGAGAGAGAGAGAGAGTGAGTGAGAGAGTGAGTGACGGAGTGAGCGAAGGGGTGAGGCGTGAAGTGAGTGAGATGGAGAGTGTGAGAGTGAAATGAAATGGACAGAAGAGACGGTCAAGTAATAAAAAGAAAGAGGAAAGAGGAAGAAAGATATAAAATGAAAGAGTAAAAAGGAGGGATGATGAGGTGGGAGTGGTATGACATAACCAAACAGGTACAGAAGATAGGAATAACGCAAAAGAGGAAAAAGAGAATCAAGAGGATTAGGTAAAAAAAAATAATACCGTGCCGTTTTTCGGCGTATTCGTCCTTGCCTCTTGACCCTTATCTTGCCTCTCTAACTTTTATTTAAACTTTGCCTTTGACCCTTACCTCTTTTTCCTTGCTAGTTGACGCTTCCTAACCTTTCTCTCATGACCTCTTTTGACCCTTGTCACTTTACCCCAGGCTATTAGCATTGTCTCTCAACATATCTAAGCCATTGCCTCTTGACCTTTCTTAACCAGAGCGTTTGTCAATCATTTCTTTCCTTTACCTCTTGACAGTCAGCTGGGCAGCTCTGAAACGTGATTTAAGGAAAAAACTTTATGCTCCTAATCCCAATTTTTCTCTCCAGCTCTTTTCACTAGGGAAATCAGAAATGCATTTCAGATTGTCAGAAATCAGTCTGATTCGCTTTTGGACATTTTAGGTATTTTTACCCTTCCGAGAGTGGGAGGTAAGGAGAGTAAACACAATCATCGGTGTTCATCAGAGGTTAGATGGTCGTGATACGAGAGGGAGCAGGAGGAGTGAAAGGGTAGAGGGAGGGCAGGGGAGGGGAGAGTTGAGGTAAGGGAGGATGATGGGGAGGGGTGAGGAAGCAGGGGGAGTAGGGTAGACAGGTGAGCTGGGGAGGGAGGAGGGCTTTACAAGACACGAGAAACCTTAATGATAATATAATTAACCTCGCCCCTGAAATACTGGAGGACAGTCCTAAACGAGAGGAACATTTCCCCAGCGAGTGGTTTGGTTTTAAATGTAATTTTGATTTTACTCAAAAGTGCTCGTCCAAAATATTTATATGCACCATGTTAATCATTCATAATATCTGGCTCGAATATTTTTACAGCCACAGTTATAATACACACGCATATCAGTTAACATG